TTTTTGTTTCTCATTGTCTGCCTATCATCCATCTGCTGTGATTTTCTTTCGTACACCTTCCATCTTAAGTCCCCTATAAGTGAAAGCGAGCAAGAGAGAAGATCAATTCTTCCTCCCCATCAACAGTCAATATCCAGTCAATGACAGCAAAAGAGGAGGCAACTATACTGATGTTCAAGGGCATGTCACACCTGAATCTCTCTTTATGTTTCACTCACCTGTGATAACACTGGTATTGATATGAACTTGCCTGAACTAGCTCATCCAGTGGGGATGTAGATGAATTAAAGGTCATTATATGAATTGTTTCTGCTGTGATGGTTGTGAAGAGATTTCACACTGTCATTGTTAAAATGCCCTTAACAAAACAGCTAAATCAAATAAATCTATGCAACTGCAACATCCACACAAGTGCATAGAATTAAGAACTGTTTTTTTTTTTTTCTTAAATTACTTTTGTGTAAAACATGTCAAAGATAGAATGTATTTTAAGCACCATTTCATTCCATATTTCATATTTTTTTATTTGTATCAAGCTCATGTATCTTTTGCATTAAAATTAAAACCTGTGTCAAGTGAAACAAATCAAAAACAGCCACTGTAGAACCCAGTGAAGATTTTTGGGTTGGTTTTCAATGAAGGATAAGCGAGAACAGCTACTGCATGGTCGGATCGATGGACTGATTGCACAACAGTTAGTATTCCAGCTAAACGCAGAGTGAGCTATATGCGTTATTGCTGTTTCAAAATGCATGGACTGACTGACACAAAGTTTTGGCTAGATGCACCTTTGATGTTGCCAGAAGCATAGTTTAATGACAGCTCTTGGGTTTGTTTTAGTGTCACTTTTTAAAGATGCTCTATAAGATGTTGCTCTGTATCCTTAGTTCTGCGGTTCTGGTCACAAAAAACATTTTCTATGTTCTCAGGTATAAAACTATAATGTATTTGCTTGGTACAAATGTGCATGACTGACGGAGTCACTTATATTTTCAGCATGAATATGTGTGTTGTCCTATCCTTTATAAATGAAGGGACTGTCAATTTAGGAAGAATTCTGGTAATAAAACTTTTTCTAAACACAAATATGCTGAGATATTTGAATCCTAATCAGATTGATTATTAATAAAAGGGGCTTCATAGTCACTGTTTTGAAGCCATGTATAAAGTCTAACAATTATTGATTATTTTTCTTTCACCATCAACATTAACAGTACTAATATCAAATTTGCTTTAGTGAAGGTAAATAGAATCTCTACACAAAATGCTTTTCCAGGGGGCAACAATCAGTGAAAATCATCAAAATGTGGCCATCAGGCGCATGGAATTAGTTTGGCAGACTTTGTAAGACAAACACAGACCCACTGATGCAAGACAGAGAGCTTGTTGAGTAATAACTGCACAACAGCACATACAAGTTATGCTTCCTGACACATAATTTGATTTTAATGAACAACAAGTCACAAAGAATGAAGCTCAAAAAGCCTGTTTGCATCAGCGTCCATCTGCAGGGCTGGGCTAATAAAGAGCCTGGCACATAGCACCTGGGCAGGCAGAGGAGACAAGTGTGCATTTAGTTTAATTCAAAGCACACAGCTCCCTCTAAAAACCAGCTGCACGTGCAAGTATAATAAATCCTACATGTATCTCTATTAAAACCAGTGGGGAAAAAAAATGGTGTTACATGCAGAAAAACAAAACTAATTAGCAAATTACATCTGTCCTTTAGACTCAGTTTTTCTTTCAATCGTGATTATCACTGAGTTTTTATTTTTAAAGATCCATATACTCCTTTGAAATGTAGTAACAAAACAGTATTAGGTGGTTATATTAACTCATGCAACTCTGATGCAGACATAGTCAGCTCAAATCACACCAGCTCATATTATGTATTTCAACAGAGTATACTGGCCCAAATGATCACGATAAAGGTGACCAATGAAAGTATATGTATAGTAAAATGTAAAAAAAAAATCATTAAAATTTGATATTTCAGAAATTCTATGTTTCTTTAATGATTATTTAGAAATTTAAATGCAGTGGCTAAGCAGTAGCTTTTTCTGACATTCATTCTATACACTGTCATCCATCCATCCATCCATCCATCCATCCATCCATCCATCCATATATCAAAGGAAAAAGAATGACCTTAAATTAAATAAGATACAGTGACGTCATGTCACCCTATAAAGTGTACAAATATTTGAGATCTTCTAGGTATTTTGACACATTACCTACATTATCTTCTATATCTATTTGAGTTTTAGAAACTAGTTTATCAGCGCTGTTTAATGTAGCTGCCTACGGTGATAATTTTATTCAGCACTAAACATATATTTTTCTTTTCACCATTTTAAATGTAAAACCACACAGAAAAACCACAGCCAATTTCACAAAGGCTACTGCTGAAACTTTGATTTTACCATCCTGAAAAACGAAACCAGGTGGGCAGTATCCGCCCCCTGTTGAAATGTCTGATTAAATGAGATTGATGAAGAAAAGGCTAGAGAGTAAACAAGAGGAAGAAATGCAGCCAAACTACTCATATGATTCTGCCAAGTCAGCCCAGCCAAGCTGTCAGAGGCTGGACAGTGTTTTCCATGCAGTGTAACAAACACCATTCTAAGAATCCTGCATGCCATTCTGTGTGCATGCATGCGTATGTGTTTATGTGACTGTAGAAGTCATGTTGCTGGGACAGAAATCCGTTCATGGTTTGCGTTGGATTCGCATTTCTTTTCCTAATGAGATGAAAAAGTCAATGTCATTCTTATCTATTTTTTTATATATATATATATATATATTCAGATCTGATTTAAGCTAAAGTAAGTAGCTGCTATAAGCCAAGTTAAAGTTTGATGGAAGGGAGTGTGCTGTGAAGTGGTAGAAACGTGCCTGTGTTGGGATGTGTGTTATCCACTTTAATTGTCAAAGACTGTCAGACGTTACCAATCGCATATCTGAGTCACTATTTACATTTCCACATATGCAAGCGGACTCACAAACACACTTGTCTCCTACACTTTCCACCTGTCACACAGTCTCTGTGTCTCCCACTCTAGCTCACTCATCCCCCTTCTGCTGCCGGTGGAATCTGTTTTGTCTCGCTCACTCCCAACCCAAACACCCCCAACACAGTATAAACACAGAACAAAACAGTACTGTACTGCATGCAATCACCCAAAGTGACAGTTTTTCTGATTATAACATGAAGCAACTGCTTGAGTTCCAGACATGAGCTTGTGTATTTTTGACAGATGACAACTCGCACATAAATTCGGGTCCAGGATCTCTTTTACCAACTGGATGTAAGTTTGATTTAATTATGACTTCAGCAGAGATTAGGACTTTGTAGCATAAATGGTCATAATAGTTAATTCTTATCATATGTTCATAGGTATTTATCTATTGCAGAAATCAGTAAAAAACTGCAAAAAAAAATATGAACTTCATTAAATGAATTAAAATGAAAATTGCCTACAATGAATTGAATTCTTTTTAAACTTTGAGAGCTTTTTTCTCAGAAATTGGATTCTCAGATGTTTGACATTGTGCTTAAAAAAATGTCATGGAAGGACACTGGGATCTGAATAAAATGAAACACTGGTTACTACTTATGTGTTTGACTTAAATTGTGCACTTTTTATTTTATTTATTTTATATTAACTGAGACTGAGCTACTTCACTAGTTTCCTGATCATCAGAAATTTAAAAATTAACAATTAATTACATCTACTAGCACGACACTAATATGAGTGATATCATTCAATCATTTTTGTTTGCAAAAGATCCACAGGAACAGGTAATCAAAACAGTTTTCATGCCTATAGAAGCACTGAGGACAAAAAGGACATTCCTCTGGATGCAGGACTTCCAGTACGGGGGACGACATGAGATTGTGCTGCCTATTTTACATGCATAAAGAGGAGAATGGAAAGCCATCCCTCCCGCAACAGAAGTGGTGGTGTGTAACTGTGGGTGTGGCATTTGATTATGTGGCAAAGCTGTCATGTTGCTTTCCCATTTAAATTGCATCTCCTCAGGGGGAAACACTTGTTCGTGTGTCTGCTGCGTACAGTCACGGCATGGCAACCTCGATCTCATCAGACAGACGGGCAAAGGGAAGCGAAAGAGAAATGGGTGATTGTAGCCAGCGTAGGGCTGCGTAAGTGGGATTGTTCAGGCTTTTTCCTCCCCTGTTCTGGTGTGTGCTGATGCATACCTTTTGCATAAATGCCTAAAATACGCCAGTGAGCGTGCGAACAATGAAAGTTTAATAAAAACCAACTCCCAGCATATGATTGCAATACATCATGTTGCTGTGCTTTCAGGAAGTTTCTCCGTTCTTGAGTCAGTGTGGAAAGGTTCAGGTACATATCACAAAAAGTATTGACCTTTCTGCCCGAACGCTGTCAGAACTGATAATCATGGAATTAAGTGAATTAGGGGCTGGCAAGGGCATTTAAAATGGTTGAGGGATGAATATGTGAAAGAGACTGTAATGAAGTCAATGATGCGAGAGTAATGCCCCATCACCCGGCACCAACAGCACCTCTGCCACACACACCATGTAACTCCTCCCAGCCCGCTGCAGTACTTCTGGGCAATGTGGCAGAAGACATAAAAAAATGCAGCACACCCTTTTCAAGGACAATTAGACCTTTTACCCATTTGGAATTCGTATTTACAGATCTACACAGATTGCACTGAATCAGATTTAGAAAGAAATGGTACATACAAACGTGAGTATTGCAACCCTTATTTTACCATGCTTGGCATTTCCATTGTTTTCCATCATGCACAAAAATACGCCTTCCTGTCATAAGAAACAGGTCACGATTCCTCGTTAAAACATTTACTGCAGATATGAAAATCAATGTTAGCACCGATAGCACGTGTAAAATCAGAGGTTTGAGGAGCCCTATGTTAAATGTGACTTATTGCTAAACAAGATGCTAGTAATTTTAAGATATTGTGTGAATACCCCATTGCTGGCTAACCATTCACTGCTAATGATGCTAAAGTTAGCCTCTGATAAGCTTCCTAATACAGCTAAGCTCAAAAGCTCTTTATTTAAAAAAAATATATATCTGGACTGCAGCAATGCAAAGTTAGCTCAAAATTAAATATTTACATCTCAAACGTGAACTCGTTTATTGTACACTTTAAAAGACAGTGGGGAATTTATAATATATTTGTACTATCTGTTAAACGACAAAAAGACTTAGCATCAGAACTACATTTTAATTAGGGGAAAAAATCTAACTTGTCAAGTGTGAACTGAACGATTATTTACTCTGTACACATTACTTAAAAATTATACCTTTTTAAACAATCATCTCATTTCATGAATCCATGCATTGTTTTGTCCCATAAGCTGGGATTATTGTCAAACCCATAGTATATTTATATATACAGATTTTTTTTTTGTTCACAATTACACAACCCACAATGGAAGGAAGGGAATAAAAAAAGGTGACAATATTTGTGTCACATTTTCTAATACTATCATTTTTTTTTTTGAAAAACCGTAGGATTGCTTTTTGAAAATTGAAACTATTCATTTATTCATTCATTCATTCTTTCTTTCTTTTTTGCTTTGTTTTGGAATTTCTTACATACAAACAAGGATGATATGCTGTTTTAATTAAAATTATGATGCAGCATCAAACAGAATGACCAATACCAGGCAGCAACTTACACAAAATTTTCATAAGAGAAGACAAGAACTGAGAGACATAAGTCATTCATAGACTCTTATTCAGTTTGCGTACTCTGCTGCAATATATAAAATGCATTTGAAACTTTCAAATTCTTTTGAAAATGTGGCTATACAAGTTAGAATATCACTCAGATAATATGCATTATATGTTAAACACCCATGAAAGCCAAATGTTTCTGACAACCCTCCTCACCAATGAATAACAACAGCAGTTATGTCTATCCTATGTCAAAAGATTAAATAATCAGCAAGAATGTGTGACATCCACCAGATTATTATGCAAATTCCAATTCTGCTGCTGTTACACATGTTGAAACTTAATTTCCACTATTTGTTCAATTGTTCCTTTGTGGCCAGACTGACCTAAGCCAGATTAATGAACAACCTCAACAAATCTAGTATAATAAAATAGAAAGAGAGTTAAAAGATTTTTTGTCCTTGTATTGTGGTCTAGACCGAAAGTTTCTCTGTCATCTCTGAGAATATTTAATCACTTGAAAGCATTGCTCTTGTCCTTTTAACTACCAAAAGCAATCATGTGGAGCGACAAGAAATAATTCTCTTTACAACAAATATTTGAGGGAGAGAAGTGCTGCCTTTTGGGCCACCTCCTGTCTTAAGAAACTTTATGTTTAGCTATTCTCTCAGCACAGTTTCATCATGGCCCCGAAAGAGAAGAAAAACCCATGGAGCTCAGAGAATGGAACAGAAAGTGGTGACGAGTGAATCAGCCTTTCCCTTGGTGAGAGCAGCTTGGGTTTTTTTAAGCTCTGTCTAATTGGATTAGCATGTAACCTTCCCCTTCCTGACTTCTCCTAGTTTTCTTTGTTAAAAGTAGTGCTTGATTCATGGGCCACTTCTTGCCTTGCAAAGGGCATTCCAACTCACCGCAGGATGTTTTTGTTCAGCTTCTTTCTATAACAGAACCACTTTAACACAGTGCAAACGAAAAATGGCTGGGAATCAGAGATCATTTCAAAGATTACATAAAGAACAATCTTTATGTGTTCAGTATATCTTGCTGTTTTATAATTGTGTAACAATCTCGAGTAGAGGGTATCTGTTGATTAATGCTGATTTGGTTCTTTTCTGTTAACTGAGATTTGTGAAGTATTTCTGGTGAAGACTGAAGTTGGCATGCAAACCAGGTAGTAAACTCAGAGATTCATTGCTGTGAAACGTTTAATTTAATAAATTAAATATGTTCACTCTTTTCTTATATATCTATTTGTTTACCCCTCAACACAATTTAAGTTCTCACAAAATCCCTAATTATAAAAGGGTAGTTTGTTTTCCTTTGCTACAGTTACATCACAACTAGGGGAGACACAAGATCATATAATAAGTATGTTTGACACATACCCATCAAAGACACTGATGATGCAAAATATTCTCTTTAATGAGGATGCACAGCAACAGAGACAACCTAATACACACCAATTTGGATCCAAATTCATAAAACAATGCCCAATAACAGACAGCCCTTGCTTCAAAAGTGTTTGATTAAACAATGCACTTACCGATCTATTTTCAGTTACGGCCAAAGGTTTCCAAACTATGTCCACTCTTGGTAAGCTGCTAGAACATGTGTTCTTTTCTTTCAGGCAGTGGGGGAGTTGACTATTTTCTCAATGTGACTAGAGATACATGGCTTTTTCTGGAGAAGCTATGCTTATTTTCTCTTCCTGCAGGGACTCAGACCACTGGATACAAATCTAGATCTTAATTCTAATCCAAGGTTCTTCTTTAAAGGTTCAATGACTTTCGCTCACTTTCGCTCGAGACATTCATGTGTTTACAGTCCCTCATTTTGCACAAGAGCTGTCCGATGAAATTGGTATCTTTGCCTCTGCACCAGGCTTTATAAGTTAACTTAGTGGCACAAGCAAGACCTCCGGTGTGCGGAGACACCCTCGACCAATGAGACCACATCAGGTATATCGGGACTCCTGCAAATACTGATGGGTGTAAATTCGTCAGTCCTTCTACTTTTTTCCTTTGTAATCTAGTTCAGGGTGGATTTTGTCCTTTGTTTTCCAATAGCAGGCTCCAATACCGATCATACTCAGGAATTATTTTTCCAACCGATTGTGGAAACTAAAGAAGAGCTATAGATGAGATGTCAAATAGCTGCGGCTCCAGGGTGTTGATTATACTGCAGGGTGTCTTCAATTTTAGCATCATCTCAAGTCATGCCTGCATAAGGGTTTGTTTGCCATAGATAGCAACCCCAGTGTTCAACTTGATTAAAAAATGTTGCAATTCTATTATGTGAATATCCTGTGCTTTATGATCTTCATATTGATAACCTTAACCATGTTTTCTGTTCATCTCTCATCCACTCACTGTAAGCCAGACTGATGAAATTGCAGACGAAAGGGGCTGGCAGTGGGTACTGATCTCAAAACTAAAACTGATTTTATAGTGCTAAGGTCAATTGGCTGTAGCAAGTGGTGTCAGGAATGGAGAGGGAAAGTGTTGTGTTGTATTTGAGGACACACATAAACAGATGCCTGTGAGCTTACAGTATAAGGTTGCCAGTGTCCTAAAGATCAATGGGCTGTTTCATGTCCACCTTTAGTTGTGGCCAACATTACAGAGCAGGCCACATATTACTTTTGAAGCTCTCCAAGCCAAAATAACAACCTCCTGTATGGTGAGATACAACTTTCTCATTCAGCTGACTGACTCTTCTGGCCCTGCACGGGTGGTGTTTAAAGGGAGAGTATGTGAGGAAACCACAGAGATGAAAACATACAGATAGAGAAAAAAGGTGAAATAAGTACAAAGTAAAAGAGAAATGTTGATAAAGTCCTCCGGGAATCTATAATTTGTCTCTGGAATGTTGCTGAGGAATTATTAATCTATCACTGCAAACGAATGCCTATAGCTGGATGCCACTAACAAATAATGGACTGCCTCCGGTAACAGAGATAAAGGCACAAACGATGTTCTCTTTTAGAGTCCCAGACAGTAAATTTTCCTGTCTAGTTTTGACTCCAAAATAAAGTATTTGCTTTGTTGATTTGCTTTAAAAATGTTTAAACACAGTGTGAATAAAAAATGCTGTAACATCAGTCGCCCGTGTTTAAACAAGAATTTAGACTAAAATATTTAAAAAGATTGAATATCAGTGTGAAATAAAATATATTTATCAAGTGTCCTTTAAATCTGAGAGTTTTATTTTAGAGAAGTTTAAGAAGAAAAAAAATACTTCTGAATTTATTTAGATGAAATGTCCATATACATTCTATGTGCATGCGGACTTACAAAAACACACACATACACACGCACACACCTACACACACGCAAACATATGTTCACACTTCAGTCTTTCCTTATTTAGCCAGAAGGGAAGGATGTGTTGCCAATACATAGTTTTCTTCCCTCTGCTTACCTCACAACCATATCTATGATGAATATTTTTGAAGAATGTAAACTACTTTTTTCCTCCGTTGACCACTGAAAATTGTGTTTTACCATACAGTTTTCCCAGGTTAATTTGGACAAGGGATGTGTATGTAAAATGTCCCCAGTGGACCAAGCAAAGGCTTTTTGCTGGATGTATTTATTGTTGGCTCCATGAAAAGTGTCCAGGCTGCCAGGCTTCACCCAACCAGAGCAACTGTCACAGTATATTCATCCATCACTAAAAAAAAAAAAAATAATATGAAGGTCCAGGGTTACGGTTATTTGGTTGTGGGTCCTTTGGTTTGTTTAATGAATTTGACTATTCCTTTCGTTTTGCTTGTGCTCCCTCAGTAAGTAAGCTAAATTGAGGTCATACATCAATGTTTAGATAAAAAAAGAGACACAAGTTGTGTGCATCTTTGAATATTAATCTTCCCCTCCAGACAAACTGTAACATTTTCACTTTAAAAAGTGTCCAAAATCAAAACAAAACAAATAAAAGAAAAAAAAAAACCCAGGCGTCTATTTCTGTGTGCAGCTTATATTGTTGTGCAGGTAACTGGTACATAATTTACAAAAAAAGGGCAAATAAGCTATCTTTAAAGATCCATCCATCCAGCCAGCTTTTGTGTTGGGTTGTGATCAAAACTATAAGCTACAAAGCACTTTTTGGCTTTCACTGCATCCATGAAACTATGAAACAGCTACAGGTACTCCAAGCTGTGAAGTGTTTTTCTTTTTTTTTTTCTTTTTTTTTCAAAAAAGGACACCATTGCAAGCTTTTCAGTTTTTTTTGCAAACTTAATATCAGCCATTTAGCTCAGCCTGAGACTTAACAAAATATATATTGTTTAACTTAAAATGAGTGACAAATTGTTGGCAGAAGCACAACAAACTAACAAGGAAAAACAAGACAGTAAATGACGACAGACAGCTTTTCTCATCAAATTAAGAACTCAAAAGTTTCCAAATACATTTTGACATTGTTTCTCACAAACACCTTTGAAGGCCCACAAAGGCTGCAATTAACATCCATACTCTATTATCTATCACTTTGAAAACTTTTTTTAAACAAAATGCTTTTGAAACCTGTGTAACAATTAGAACCTAATCAGACTTTGTCACTATAAAAATATAGATATGTTATCTGTTAATTTGTTATTATATATATATATATACATATGAAATTTGTTATATTAAATATTCTTTCATTTTTCTTATGCTTTATGGAATTGATCAAAGCATAAATAATAATAAAAAAGCTTTCATCAGCTTGAAATTGAATTATGAGCTTGTATTTTGGATTTATACATCCGATTCTGGAGGAATCAGTGAATCTCAGTGATGAGCCTCACCACACGTCAGCGACCCACAACCACTTGATCCAATCAGTGGTGTTGGAATAGGTGGCATGGATAAGGGAGAACTACACAGCTCTCATCATTTTTATTGATTCTGATTCTGGTCCCTTTTAGAGTTAGCCAAAATATATGTGGTCTTATCCACAGTAGCATGAAAATATTATCAAAAAAAAAAAAAAGAAATGCCAAAGACTTTATTTTCTTTTATTGTATTAAATGTCAAGATTACAATCATTTGTTGTTGCAGCACAAATATTACAGCATATTTGATTGACACGGAAGTTTGCTCAAATGTATTCCTAAAAAAGTTAAAAGTAAAATGAATTAAATTAAAACTGCATTTGGCAGCCGACTAAAGTAGAAATCGCTGTTTTTTTATATGTATATTAACATGAGGGGATTGCTTTTATTAATAAAACTTGAGAACTGTCAACAAAAATTTCCCAGCAGACTATATTCATAATATATATCGCTATAGGTTTTATATCAACATTTATCATGCTGTATCTTTATTGAATTATTTGAGGACTTTCCTGATGTGTTCCACAATACATTTTTACTTTTTAACTTCTTTTGCTGTCAAGGAAACTATTAAGTTGTTGTATTTAATATTAACTTGTTTTGCATTAAATAAAGAAACAAACTGTCTCGAGAAGCATAGACATTGAAATTGCAATCTGTCTCGCCATCTGAAGTCACATGAGTTGCCAGGTTGAGATGAGGTCACACATGGTCTACGGGCCAATCAGTAGACCCATGCCTCTGCGTCATGGCTCTAACAGTGAAGCGCGCACACACACACATGCTCCCTGGTACTGGCAGCATAAAGGAATGCTCTCATTCAGCAGAGGGACAACGGGAATCTGTCAGAATGAAACCGCCTACTGAGCCATGTGCTAATGTAACTGCCACAGTGTTGGCAATGTTAAGGTTTGCATTTCAGTCATAAACAAACTGACAGACACAAATACAGACATAATGAAATGTGAAAAAAAGTCTGATACAGTAGATATTTCCTTGTTATTCCTAGCTATTCAGTTAGGAATTCTATCAATCTACCTCAGACAGAAATGGAGTATTATGCAATTTAGATTCCCCCACCCCCCAATTCTTCTCTTTTAAACCACCACTTATTTATTTCCCTTGGGCATCATCGTTTATTTGAATGAGAGGTGGAGGTTGGAGATGCACTGACTGACAAAACTAAATCTTGAGCCATAAATGAGAGCTTATGTGTTTATAGCAGGGATATTTACAACAGTTAACAGACATCCCTAAGGGAGAGAGGAAGCCCCAGATAGAGTGAAAAGAGTGGTGAGGAAATAAACGTCATCGAAATCATGGACCAACAAAGACCCTCGACTACAAACTGCATAATGCAACAAAAGAAAGGGATGATGTTTGTGTCAGAGTACTTTCTAATATTCATAAGTTACATTTTCCAACTTAATTGGAATCTGTCAGGGCACATTGGCCGTGAGTGGCATCACAGCAGCAGCTGTGCTGTTTCCCCATGGCTGATGAGACGCAATAAAAAGAGAGAGAGAAAGAGAGATGGGGAGGAATAAAGAAGGAAAGGAATTGCAGACTGAATGAACTGCAATTCAGAGTCAATGGGAATCAAAAACGCATCACTGCAAGTGGTATGAGTAAACGTCTAAAAGCAGGGCTGTTAGAGACAAATACTTCCAGCAGTTCAAACTCTTCAATCGTTTCCTGAGGGAGCATGCATCTCATATTTTTTTTTTTTTTCCCCATTTCTATATTTTTGTTTATCCGGTCTCATCAGCATCCCAATCATGAAGCCCTGGAGATGCTCCAACAAAAAGAAACCCCTGTTTGGCTGCTTTTCTTTCTCATGGTTTCACTGGTACTCAACACTGAAAAGTTGATCTAGTGTGCTATTATCATAGTTAAAAGGAAAAACTAGCACTTCCAATAGTCAAGTAATTTTTCTCAACTTCATATCAAGCCTAAAGTCCAAGCAAGTCCAAGCAAGTCCCCACAGTGTTGTCACAAGTCCAGTCAAGTCTCTAGTTTTTGAAGGGAAAGTCCAAGTTGAATCTCATCTCTCAAGACATTGGGTGCGTTCACACTGCAGCCTGAAGTGACTCAATTCCGATTTTTTGGGAATTCCGATTTTTTTGCCGGGGCGTTCACACTGCCAGTAAATGCGACCTGTATGTGTTCTGCAGTGTAAACGGGCAAACGACCTGAAAGTGTCCCGCATGCGCAGTAGAGGGCGCAATAGCGTCAGCGTTCTCAGCCGCCATAAAAAGAAGTGCTCAGTGTTTGCGGAAGTAAACATGGAGGCTAACGGTGGAGCATAGCTCATATATTTGAAGTTGTTGTCCGGCCGGAGCAGCATATTAACAACTTAATCCTCATATAGTCCGTCATGGTTGTTGTTTTTCTTCGACCTTGCGCGTATCAGGACGCAGTATAGTGAGATTGGTTGAGAAACTGACGTTCAGTTCGGATGAATGCGACCTGGACGTTAGGTCGCATTTGAATCGGATAGTATCGGATGTGGGTCACATTCGAAAAAGAATCCGACCTGTGCTGTTCATACTGCCATGAAAAGATCAGATACAGGTCGCATTACGTCAAAAAAATCGGAATTGGGTCACTTCAGGCTGCAGTGTAAACTAGTGACGTGCGGTGAGGTTCTTTGCTGGTGAGGCACTGACTTATGACTTAGACACCATCCATGTTATTGGACCTACGGAAATTTCGTGCAAGCATACAACGCTGGAGGGCAAAAAGACTAATCATTTACATGTCATTCATAGCCGCGTTAACTCAGTAAAATTTAGAAATGTAGGTATTGATTTCGTGCTATGATCCACAGCAAAGTGATCTGTATTCGTTAAGCTACGCAGATTCGTTGCCATAGCAACTGACAACAATGCCACTTCATGTTTTAGGATTCAACACCAAAAACATTAAAGAATTTATTTTGCACACAGAACAGAACATTTAGTCTGTTGTTGTAGTATGTTTTAGGCTTAATGTTTAATTAATAAATAATGTGGTAGATTAGCTACCGCTTCTACTTTACTGAATTATTTAGACATACAAACTGTAGCACAAAAAACGCACATTTCATAAAAAAAAAACATCTTATTGCTGTCTTACCTTTATCTATCAATGAAATCCATTCACCGCCAATTCTGCACAAAAATATCCGTTCATCCAAAGCCAGGTCTATCCTCGGCATGTCTTTTCTACTCCGTTTGAGAATCATCAAACTGTCTCGAAGCAAAACCTTCAGCTCCAGTGCTGGTCTTCCTTTACTTATTATCTCCTGCTTCAATTGAAAATCCACTTTAGAAAATTGTTAAAGTGTAGAAATGTAGTCTTTCATGTTGACGTCTGAAGAGATGAGAAAACAAATATATCGCTGTACTTTACTTATTTACTGTATGGCTAGCTCCATGGCTAGCTCACTGTGTCTTACTCTGCAGTTGTGCAGTCACAATATCTGGGATCATGAGCGCCCCCAGCCATGAGGCAAGAGAACTGCCTGCCTCACCTCGAGTCTGTTCTCTGCCGTTTCTGATCACTCCTCTGCACACAAAACACGATACACACACAGTTGGTGACAAAAAAACACTGTACATTATATACATAAGCTAAATTATGGAAAATCAGTCCATATATTAAATGTTTTTTAGCCATTTTATTACCGGCGTACAGACAGGACGAACATGCTCCCATAGAATGGCAGCCAGTGCAGTCAGCGAGAGGTTGCGCAATCCCAGGTGAGGCTCAGCTCGCTGCTGCCTCACCGGCATCGCTTCTGAGCATTTGAATGGGAAAATGCGAAAATCCAGCGATTTTGAAGAAAAAATAATCAGAATTCGTTAAGCTAAGTAAAAAATAGATATTTTATAGTACAAACCACAGGGTGAAAATAGCAATATAAATGGTTTTATTATTATATTATTTCCCCATGATGACAGGTGAGGCTCTGCCTCCCCTGCCTCCCCTGACCGCACGTCACTGGTGTAAACGCACCTATTGAGTATCGGCATGAATGAAAGAAATCAACTTCCTCATATCAGATGTATCCCACTTAGCCTACCTAAAAATAAATAAATAAATTATGTATATATATAAATTATATATATATATATATATATATACATATATATATATATATATATATATATATATAGTTGCAACATTCTTGAAGTCTAAATAAACAGATCCTTATAGCTTATCTTTTTTTCAGAATGCTTAATTCATCATAAAAAAAATCTCTATTTAACTGGTGTGAATTATTGAAAAAAAAAAATTAAGGTGTAATATTTACCCCACTTGAAATATAAATATGCANTTCTGTTTAATAAGTAAGATCCATTTCTTTATTTTACAAAGTATTTTGTGGGTATAAAGTCCTTTATTTAGGTTACTTATTTACATCACTGATATTACCCGCTTAAACCTTTTATATTACGTAGGTTTGTTTGTTTTTATTACGAAGTGATTGCATTTTGGACTCAACCATGAAGGACTGGATACAGGGAAAAAGCCAGAGTCAGAGCAGGCTGAGAGCAAGCCTTAGCTCAGGCTTTCAGTGATTCAAACTATGCAAGCTTAATTCCAATAAGTGGTTTGATAGTCTGTTTCCTATCTTCTCAGTAAATTACATGAAAATTTAAAAACATGCTAAATGGTGTCGGTTGTCTTAGCACCTAATGTTGAGCCGAGATAATTATTGTTGGTGCTGTTGTTCAGGTTGGTTCTCCTCTCATACTTGCAGATTCCAGTCTTCACTCGATCTCACACTAACAGATTTTTGTGCCAAATCGCCCTGCTGACTGACTGCAATTAGTGCAGACTGATGCAGATTTTTGCTGATTGGAAATCGGGCGTAAAATTGTGCAAAAATAAAAATAAAAAAATTATGTAGCATGTCCCCAGTTTCAGTTGCAAAAAAATTAAGTTTAGCATGGAGGTAAAAAGTGTTTCAGTATGCCAATACATTGGAAGGCAGAAGATCTTTTGCTGAAGTATTATGCTCCTAATCATTCTGCACAATAAACATTTGTAACCCAATAAGATAGTTTGATTCTTTCTGACCTGCAGAATCAGTAGATAATGGCGTTTTATGCTGTAAAATGCTTTATATATTTAAAAGATCCTTCCTAAGAACTCAAAGGACAAATTCTTTAAGGTGAACACGAGACAACAAAAGACGGAAACATATTTTCACATGGAGAATTCTCAAAAGTATTTGCATACGATCACATTTACACACCCGTAGGTAAAATTAATCTACACACATACATAGACAAACACACCAGCCTAGAGCTGAGAACATCTGGAGTGGAAGTCAACTGGAAGTCAAACTACAAACTGGCTCCCAACCAAAGCAGAGGAGCACAGTCACAGCTATCTCCAGCGATCCACTTTTAAAATTTACCACAGTGACTTTGACAAAGAGTCACCAGAACTCTGTACAAGCGCAGCAGGGACTCCAAAGCTCGTGTCTCCAGTAAAACCACTCACATTTCTTAGCAAGATCGATTTAGAAATGTTATTTGGTGATGTACAAAATTTTCATATTTGAAAAACAGCAGTTTTTGTTTCTTTACAAAGAAATTTTGAAATTGTACGTTAAACCATTTCTACATTCTCATTTACATAGTCCAAGCTGCAAAATATGTAATCAGACAGTTTTTGAGTTTGAAGTAGGAGTGGGGAAAAAAAGAAAAAAAAGAGTATGAACTAGAGCTACTACTGATACAGTGATGTTACAGAAGACAGAAAACCTGAGACATGTTCAAATGCATTAGCAACTTTAGATCATAATTATTGTAAATGTCACAAAGTAGAGGCCAAAAAAGGGCTTCTGATGGACTCACATTGTTCTGTTTCTCTGCCTGAGTTATTTCTTTTTGCCACCTCTTCTCACTCATAGTATGATAAGAAATAGAAAAAAAACCTACAATACAGTAATATGCCATGAAAGTATTTATAAAAAGCATGTTTCAAAAATTTCATTTTTCACTAAACATTTCATCTTACCTGATTGCCTGATGAGCCAGAGTGTAGGAGTGGGGGCTTCCATTAAACAAAAATAAAAGTAGTGATATTCAGCAATTAAAACTTGAACTGATGATACTGACACAGCAATTCCACATTAGAGTCAAAAACAAACTTGGCAGCAATCTAACAGTGACTTTTTTTTATTTTTTTTATTATTATTTTTTTATATAAATGGAAGATAATTTCTTGAAAACATCCATACTATTTCACTTCTGAGGCAGGATGGGAGAGGGGAAACAACAGCAGGGAACACTTGTGTCAATATTTTAATGAGAGATGAAATATTAGCCAACAAATAGTACTAGCAATCATTAAGGATAAATTACATTCAGTAATATCAACAAACTAACTGTCATGTGTACAGGACAAAAGCAAAGAGTAAGTCCTTGCATTGGCGAGATGGCAGAGTTAATTTTCTCCAGTCAAAACTTCCCCTACACCTCCCCCTATAGTTCTTCCACACAGCTATTTTTCTCTCATGTCAGGGGCCAAACCTCCCAAGGTGTGTTATCATTTAGCCAAGTGAAGAATGTTTCTGCTGTCGAATTGATTATGTGGGTTGAAGGCTACCTGTCTCTTCAACATCCACCAACAAGCCCCACCAGACTCAACCTGATTCATTTGTGCCCACATATTCTCTGTTCGGATCCCAAAAATGTAAAGGGTGAGCGGGAAAAGCATTCTTCGAAGGAGTGTGAAAGTCTTAGTAAAATAAAAAAAAGTAGAGCCACTCACTCTTTTTTTTTTTTTTCTTCATCCCTAGAATGCGCATTGCTCACAAAGGCAGCAGACAGGCAGGTGGAAATCAATTCCATGGAGCCAATGGATGAAAGTAAGGAAGAAAAGAGCAATGAGACACAGGGAAGCTATATGAAGATTTCGCCAGGCAAAAAGCAAAAATAGCCAATGGTTTTGTGTGTTTGTCCTCCACCTGAGTTTACTCATACGCACCATACAAAAACAAGATGAACCATGGTAGGTGGAGGAGCAGACTTGTCTTACAAAACGGGTTCATCCGTTTTTATATAAAAATGGCACTGATTATTTAGCAAAGCACTGTTACACTATTTCCTAAACATTTGTTTTAAACAGCAGCAGCAATCAGCAGCTGAACCAATTAACAAATGAGCCTTGATCAGAGTATCTACTCTGTTGATGTTAACATTGAGCTGAAATCAGTGCTAGTGGACTGCCAACTTTGGAACCTGAATACTAAATATCCGACAAGATTCTCCAGTCTCCAGCTAACAGGCTCCACTGTTAGCTACCAGGTTCAATCATCAGCTACTAGGCCCGGCCACCGCGCCAGAACCAGGAATCATAATTATTGTGCAGTCTACAGGCCTGTCGCAATAAGTAATAAACAATAAAACAACAAATCAATATATCAATTAATCGCATGATAAATTAAAACAGCCTCAATAACTTCCATTTGCATGATTTATTGTTTTTCTCTTTTATCTCTTTCTTTCTACCAAAAAAATTGGATGATAAATGTCTTCAGTCCAGTTTATTGGTCTCAATTAGCCTTCTGTTGAAGGACAATCTTGCTTACAGAAACTTAAGCATTCATTTTAATTTTTTTTTGGTTGTTTTGTTCATTTATTTTAGATACTTAAATTTATTTTAGATACTTTGTTTGTCAATAGCTGAGACCCCAGACCATCTGTACAAAGCAAACAGCATAGGACAAGGGGCTGGTTTTAACAGGCTGATTTCAAAAATTATTCAAAATAAATTTGAC